AAGAAAACCAAGTACTGGTAGTTTTTCCTTACCCTGGTCCTCAAGCCACACTGTCCTACATGTTTTAGAGCAGTGGTTCTTAACCTTTTTTGAGGTACCGAACCCACCAGTTTCATATGCGCATTCACTGAACCCTTCTGTAGTGATAAATAAAATATGATTTTTTTTTTTTCCCCCAAATTAAAGACATAGGGGTGACCCAACTGGACTCTAGTTGGGTCACCCCACGATCACCAAGTCTTCTTAAAAGGTAGAGTCTCTGAGAACAGTTCTTCAAAATATAGTCAGTGTTTTCAGCAAAGTTGAGCTGACTGACCAGGAACGACCCAAGGTATTTAAAATCTGCCACAGTTTCAACAGGTTGGCCATCGAGAGAAACTGGAACCACTTTAATGTCTTGTTTAGATCATTTAATTAGCTCTACATTCTTAAGAGAATGAAAAATTTATAATAAATAATAAAGACTTTGCGGTATTCTGATTTAGTAATGTAATTATATTAGTTGTGTTACCACCCCCACGCCACTTAGAGGCAGTAGCAGGCCCGAAAAGATGCGGCTAAGGAGCAGATTTAGAAGTACACCGAAAGCTACAGAATTTGGTAAAACCGGTGAGTTTTGTTGAAGTAATTAAAGACACAAGTTCAAATCCATGCCGAGAGTTGAACTCCGTCAATCAGTGCTCCTCTGCAGCTCTGATTGGCTCAGCAATGTAACGTGATCCTCTGCAGCAACTGATAGCAAAGCGGGGCGTCATCGCGACTTTACACAAATGTGTCTTTACCTCCGCGGCAGAGGCTCCGCCGAACCTCTGAGACCGACTCATCGAACCCGTGGGGTTTGATCGAACCCAGGTTAAGAACCACTGATCTAGAGAGAAGAATAAATAATAAAGCTGCAAAAGTCCAAAGACAACTTTGAAAGCACGGAGAACTTTTTGATCAAAATTACTTTCATAGACTGCAATAAAAAATTGTACATGAATGAAAAATGTAATGCCTTTTTTGTATTTTTTATTATTGGAATAATCTTATTGATTTATTCCTCTTTTGTTGAGTAGCTAAAGACCGAAACATGGCCTTTCTCATATTCATCAATGAGCAAAACAGTGAGACTGTGAAACTGAAGGATCAGATCAACAAGGTATTTTTTTCTGGTTTGCTTTAACATTTTTTTTATATATATTTTTATTTTTATATATATTTAGTGTATCCTGCATACTTTTTTCATACACTACGACATTGTTGGTAACAAAACAAGATTGCGAAGAAACTAGAGAAGGTGTGTCTTGTTTCCTAGAGATTTGTAACAGTAAGTCTGTATGTCACAGCAGATCAAGGATGAGATGGAGAAGTTTAACCAAGAAGAACTAAAGCAAGAGCAAAAGTATCTCTCTTTGATGAAAGACATGGAAGGAAAAATAAAGGAAGCTGAATCTCAAACAGAGACTTATGCAAGCCAAGCTGACTCCATAAGCACGATTCTGGACCAAATCAAACAAGGTTCAGCAATGTTTTACTTCATTACTCTTTACATTTTATTATCTGCTTTGCTAAGATTTCTAGTACCAGATACCAACACGATGAATTTAAAGTGAATAAAATAAATCAAGCTGATGACATAAAATTAACAATTTGTAATTAAAGGTGTATGGTTTTGAGTTGTTCTCAAATCGAAATTGGTATAAAGACCCATGAAATCTTGATGAATCTAAAATAAATGTCTGTATTGAGTAAAAAATAAATAAATAAACGCAATCATTATACTGCATGTTCTGTAGAGAAATGCAAGTAGATCAAGGTAATTCTCAAACATGCACTTTTCATCCCTCAGGGGTGGACAGCATGTTCAAAGATGTGGGGTGTGACTACGCAACAGTGGAGGAAAGGCTGGGATTCACCTCCGGGATCACAGAGAGCAACATTATAACATACCTGGATCTCATAGAGGAGAAGACCAACGAGCTGCTCTCTGTGCAGGCTTTTCTCAAGTTTAAGGTTGTGCCAGTTTTGAAAGTATTATTGCTGTTTCCAGATGCTCAACCTGTAAGACATCATGTGTTTTGTACAGGAACTGAAAGACGGCTTCGATGCAGCCGATCTGGCCAGAAGCATTATAGGTCAGAAACCTGACCTCAAGCGAGATCTCAGTGCCCACACATCTATGAGCAGGTCGGCCTTGTAGTCTCCTTTGGAGATAAATCTGAGCATATAAACGCATGATACTCACGGCTCTGTTTTGTTTTACCCATCAGTTTGGAGGCTGGTCCAGAAGAGCCTCCTATCACTGATGAGGACGACCGGCCACTTTCACACGAGGAGCTTTGCAAGAAAATAATGAGACGGGTTAGTTCAATAAAGCCACAAATCTAGCCTGAAATGGCTGCAGATGACTAACATGAAGAGATGTTTCTTGTTTAGTCTTTTTCTGAACAGCTTAACTGATCTTCTTTATATGATTCCTTGATTCAGAAAACAGAATGGTCATCAAGGAGTCACACAAGCTACAAAAATCTGTAACAAGCTTTAGTGGCAAACAGCACATCCTGGAGGATGGACTCATGCGGTATAAGCAGTGTTCTGTGGAGGACCCTTAATAATTAATTTACCTTAACAAGTTCAAAACTAACATTTTCATTGTTGATGCTGCTTTTAATCAGACTTATCAGCCATTTTCCAAGAGACAGCACTGTGCATACAGCATGACCCACTCGTATTTGAAATATTCCTGAAATATCAGACAAGGTTTGTTCAATTATAAACTGACTGCTTATCAGCAGTTTCATTTCTTAATAGTTCTGCTGTGCACACAATCTGAATTCACTGAAGCAATCTTTACAGTTCCCTTTTTCCCAGTCAGACACCTGTGTCTGGTCTTTGATTAAAATCAGCAGCAAAAATATAAAAGAAAATATAATTTATGATTAACCGTATTCTTTCAGCTTCTGATTTTGTAATATTAGATTGAAACTTTAATTTAAAAAAAAAAAAAAAAAAACATTTGCAATGTTAAAGTGTGAAAATAGTAATTTACAAAGTATGTGATTGTTACATTTTTTGTAGTTGTGGGTAATATGTGTTGTAATTTTTAGCTTTGTATTAGTGTGTTTAACAATAATAATATTGTTTTTACCTTATGGAGAGATTTGTGTTCCAAATGAATTACAAAATATAAAATAACTTATAAAATGATGGCCTCATTGGTGTGTTTCCTATGATTTTGAGAAAGCAGAAGGCACGGTAAAACAATTTTTGTTTCAAAAGCAGTTTGGCTCCACCTGGTGGTGGCACAGCAAACAGACAGAAGAAAGAATGTGAGACATTGACATATAGAGAACCTTTTCAAAAACTGCAAAACAAAAGCAACTGCTAGAGTCCAATAAAGGGCAGATATAAGCATATTCTGCCAGTGGGAGTCTAATGGTGCAGGTGGTAGTGCAGAGGAACATCCACAAACATAATGAGGTCATGGTGAGATATAATATAGTTCATAGAAAGGAACTTCTCTCAGCTAACCAGATGCCCCACCTGCCTCAACTGAGTCCTCTCAATATGGATGAACAGCAAAATGTCAAGACATATCCAGGAAGTTACAACTCCGACACAAGTAGGTCTTCAAAATACACTATATAATGATCCTAAGAATACCAGCTATTTTAGTTACAAAGTGGCTTACAGATAATAAAACTTTTTGGGGGTGGCATGACGAAGCACCGATCTAAATCCCTTAGATTTTGTGAACAGAAGTGAAAAGGTGTGATAGAGCGAGGCAGCCTCCCATCCTGCCGCAGTTCCACTAGTTCTGTCAGGAGGAATGGGCCAAAATCCCAGGAAACATGGCAGAAACCTGAGCAAAGACAACACAAAATATCTGACTTAAGTCATAAATTTAAGGTGGAATTTTGCCAAATGCTAAGAAAGTTGATGTAACATCTCCTCTTTCTTTACCATTACGCTGACACTTAGGAAATACAAAATAGTTTTGGTAATCAGTCGACTCAGAACGGAGGTTTAATCTGATTTGTTGTGTGTTTTCATGCAGACTGCGTGAATATTTGATTTTAACTGTATTTATCAATAGCTGACATGATGAAGGTTTCCACATCTGTAGATCATCACAAAGGACACTTTGTGTGCAGAAACAGCCTCGGTCTTTGTCTAGCAGGGACGTCGACTCCTGTGGGCTCAGATACATCTGGGCTGGAGCCTCCTGAAGCAGAAACATGCTTTGTGGTCTCGCAAATGTTTCCTCATTCAGATAATTCCCTCCAACTTTCTCCAGACTTGAAACTATCTTTGGCAGACATTCTCACGATGGTTCTCGTCCCTTGAATCCTGCAATAAAGTTTTCCATCAAGTTACTGCTTTGTTTACTTACACCACAAACAGTTAACATACAGTCGGTCCTTGTGTCTGCGCAGTCTGTTACCTATTTGCTGTTCTACCATGCCGGGCAGATTACCATATTATAAGCAGTCAGTGTGGTTTGTTTTACCCACAGATTAAAATAAGAAAATCTCTTAAAGCCACAGCGAATGTCATGTCACCGTAGAGCAAAGATAGCATTCACTGCAGAGAGCAGCTTCCTATATAACATAAAGCACAGGATGGGCAGCTTATTTTAAGCAGCATATTTTCAGTACCACTTTTGTGAAACAATTAACAAAGCGAGGTGCTATTTTTATCTCTTAAAGGTCACTCTGATCCCATCATCATTCTTTTTTTTTTTTTTTTCATCCGTGTCAGCTGTGCAAGGATTCGAGGAAGAGGAATCACTTGACAAAAGTGTTGTGAAGAAGGCAGAGACATATCTGGGTCAGAGTGTTTTATTTTCCTGAGACGTCTCCTCTCGGTTAAAGGTTATTTCCAGGTACATTTTGACAGCAGCGTTAATTCAGGAAGTGAATATGCCTCTCGCTTACGGCTTGCCTTTGCGCAGGGTAAAACTGTGTGGCTATGAAAACAGATGATCAGATATGAAAGGGTTCTGTGGCGGTGAAGCAGTTGGGTGGTGGGTGATGAGATGGAGGAGGCTGCTTTCTTTGAAATCCAACTCTCACTTAGCCTCCCCACCACTCACCCCGTCTCTCCCTCCCAAAAAATTTCTCTGTGCACACGGCTCTCTGCATTGCCATAGTAACCTTCCTTTTAATCACAACAGAAACCTCATTTCCTGCTCCTGACAAAGAGACCTCATTGCCTGTAGAGTCTGCTTACAACAGCCATTTTTTTTTTCTTTAAAAGCCCTCCTCCTTCTTCTACAGGCTGAACCTATGGGCAGCCTCCCCTTTTTACCATTCATGTCCTTATAAGCACATACTCTCCCTTTTAATATTCTCTTTCTTTCTGGGAGAATCAAAAAAAAAATTTTGTCATAATTGGCCTTTTTTTTTATTTATTCATGTGAAGTTTGGATGCAAAACTACACACTTTTGCATAATTTTCAGGGGATTTCACAAAGCAGTTTATCACTTTGAAGTCAAAGGAAAATGCAGAATAAGAAAAACACAAAATACTACCAGGTATGTTTGGTCTAGTTTTTAGAGCAAATATTTTAGTACACTTAAAATAAGACAAGACAAGTAACGTTTCAGCAAGATATAGGAGCTTGTTTTTAGTGTTGAATATTAATATTTAAGAAGTACCGTTTCTACTGGCACGTTATTTCACTTATACCAAGACATTTTCCATGTTGCAAGGGAACTAGTACTTTATCATCAATACTAAGGAATTGTGTGTAAAAAAGCTTCCTTGCGCAAAAGTTACTTGTAAGTTAGTTTTTTCTTATTTGAAGTGTGCTAAAATGTTTACACCAGGAACTAGACCAAAAATACTTGGTAAGATTTTGTATTTTTGCGGTGGAAGAATCTGGACAGGACAGATAGTTGTGCACAAATCTGGTTGCTAACGAAACGTGGCAAGAAGATTGCCATTTGAAAAAAAAAAAAACTAAGTAAGAAGTTGTTTGTTATTTGCAAGACATTTAGGAGACTCAGGAAACGTGTGGAAAACAAAGAAGATAAAATGAAACTTTGTTCCATTTGTACAGATTACATAAAGGACACTGTGAACATGTGAAACAAGGTGAGATTAACTTCAAATTTAACTTCCTGGTCTAAACGCCAAGCCCTTTGTGTAGCAAAAAAGCTAACGCCATATGTGAAACATGGTGGTGGCATAATCATACTGTGGAATGCTTTTTATTCACAAAAACAGGCAAGACAGAAGCAAAATCCAGACCAATCCTGGAGGGGATGTAGTAATGGTAGAGCTTAATTTTCTGGCAGAAAGATCCTAAGCATACAGCCAGAAGTCTTAGAATAACCCATTCAAAGTCTAAACCAATATCTAACTGAGAATCTGTGGCAACAGTTCACCGTTGCTGCTCAGAGAGCGTCTCCATTAATACTTTTGCAATCCTCACTGATTCCAGTGATCTTATCTCCAGGAACACCTACACGACCAACTGTGCAAGATGCAACATGCAAACGCATGCCGAGCTTCCACAAACTGATAGCTTCACTCCCTTCAATGGACCACAGCGTCATCCTCTACTTTCAGCTTCCCAGCAGTTCTGCTCGGTCTGATTTAAACTTTTAGAGCAACTTGCATTCAAGCATATATCAGTAAGCTGTTTAAGTTCTTCTATGTACGACCAGCAGGGTTATCTACTTCCTGCCTCAGGCTTTGTTCTGCTTTGGGGGAATGAACAACAGCATGTCAAGTCGTAAAATGGCTTGTTCCCATTTATCTCTGACAAAACTCTTATCAGGACCCAGAAAAGCTCCCCTTGTCCTCAGTCTCTGCTCAGTCCTCCTCCTCATATCAGCCTGTCTCCCTGTCCTGTTTGTTTATTTTGGATCATTGCCAGGTATTTCCCCACTCAGAGAGCCTGAACTCACATTTTGCTCCCTCCCATTAAAGTAGGCCACACCTCCCCCCAGCAGAGTCACTCGCACTCCCCATCTTCTCTCCCTCCCACGAAGGTTGCTAAGCAATCACCCACCATGAGAGCTGGTGCGTTTGGTAGCCATTTAAATCCTTTAATATATTTTCAAACGCTGCTGTGAAAGCAAGGGCGTTTCCTTCATCTTTCTTGGATCAGTCCATCTCTGGATTAAAGGATTCACACTGCCACACATTTTACATTCAGACTTCAGAGACAAAAGGCGGTTCTGGACATTTATAGTCCGGGTCCATCTTTAGGTAGTTCCACTTTGGACCACAGGGTGGCAGCACTGGCCGTTTCTCCGCCACACAGCCTGCAAGACATTTTCACTGCTGTTGCTAAGCAATCCTTACTATCATGCATTACCTGTGAAACAGTTTTCTGTATTTTTACAGATGTCCCTGACACCATCTTGTTTTTGTCATCACCATTTTGAAAAATGCCCCAGTTTCCATTAGGCAAGCTAAACAGAATTATGCAGAATCTGCTTTTTATGCAAAAATAGAAAAAAAGCCTCTTCGGGTTCATTGCGAATGATTGTGAGTGAGTCCTGCATGTTTCTGTTGGGTGGGTGATTGAAATGCGGTCTGTGGTGGTTAAATATTAGCCATGTGCTGTTTCAGTTGGCTCCATCTCATCATGCAGGAGGCAGGAAATGTGCTCTTGAGTGATTAGGCCTGCAGCCTCTCTGCTTCCACTTTACAAGCAGTTAGAGGGATCTGTGTGCTCTTTGATTTGATACGCCGCTCAGCGTCTTGTTCCGAGATGTTACACTGACCATTTTCCTGTTTTAGGCTTCATCCCTGCTGATCTCTTGCTATTTATTTTAATCACCCAACTGTTTCGTCCTTTTCACTTTCCGAATCCCTGCCCCCCTCCTCAGGTCCCCGCGTGTGCGAGTCCCTCATCTGAGCTTTGGTTGCTGTGCAGATGGCTCTTTGTTGGTTCTTTACAATAGGTCTAAGGTCAGAGTGCCTCCTACCATCCACTCACTTAGACTTCTTCACTCCAGCTGACTCGTGGCTTTATTGTAAAGCTCATTTAAGCAGATATACTGTAGACTGTCATCACTGCGCGTGTGAAAAACGGTTGAGTTTCTGCACTGGATGAGGAGGAAGTTGTCAAACCGCAGATGTAGTGAAAAGATAGCCCGGTCATCTCAAGCTGTGAACCTGTTTCAGTTTCTAGTTTTTCAAGTGTGAGCTACTTTTCAAGTTGTTTATTGTCCTTTTTTTTCTTTTTTCTTTTTTAAAAAAAGCTTGTTTTAATGTGTCAGCGGCAGCGAAGCTTTTTTTTTTTTTTTACAGCGTCTCTGAAGGCGAACAGACTCAGGAAAATCAGCCAGATCAACCGGAGAAATAGAAATGCAAATCTGCCATCTGCCATCTGCTCTGCGATCCCAAACCACCCCTTCTTCATCATTCGGCATCTAATGTAACATTTACACTTTGCTCAACCTCTGAGATTTATTCAAAGGGCAGCGTGTGGCTTGGTTGTTTAAAATGACAGGCAGGGATCCAGTGTGGCAGATTCAACTGAAAAGCATCCATTTTGTCATTCAAATCAAGAAAACAAAAACAAAAAGCATGATAATCTTTGAAAGGTTCTGCCATATGTAGTAATGTCCGCAGAAGCATGTAGCCTTAGCGCCAGCCTGCATTTAGTCTTTGAGGGATTAAGAGTTTTCGCATGTGCTAAGTAAAAACTTCTGGGCACCAGGAGGCTGAGACTCTTGGAGGCAGCTTGCAGCAGGAGAGAGCAGGTAGAGTGAAGGAAAGGCGGGAAACCAGAAGGAGGAGGAGCACTTCTTGCAAAGCTGTAGGAATTACTGGAAATTTCCACTTTCCTCTGGCAAGACAGTTACATGGGTGGAGCTAAGAGGTGAAATAAATAAGGTAGCAGAGCTCAAGTTTAGCTCAAGTCGTGTGCTCTCGAAGGAAACCAACCTAGTTACTGCTCACACCCTCAGCCTCTAACGCAGGGGGGGCAGGGATCCATTAAATATCCATATCCTTATGCTTGTTCTCATGAAATAAAATATCCAATCTATTGTTTTGTTTTTTTTCTTGAGGTTAAATTTGTGCAGATGTATTTGGAGATGCTCGTGGGCAGAACCTTTGTCATGAGTTAAGCGCTAACCTCATGTGTTTGCTGTTAGAAGTCTTGATGTTGCTTCATACCTGAATACCTCAGGCGAACCTTTTCCCATCGGCTTCTTCTGGCAACTCCACACCCCTCAGCAAGCTGGGAAATGTAGTCCCTAAGGCGCAAACTACAGCTTCTCTTTGTTCAATCAGATGTTATAATAAAGCTCATGAAGCAACATTTCACCTTGTGTACTCGCATCCTGTCTACATCTAAAAGAAAAAAAGGAGTCAGTTGTTTAGTAACTATACTAAACAACTGATACCAAATAGCCCTCCATAAGAGAGTGTGCAGAGATCAAGAGGCAGCTATATTCTGATGTTTCCTCAGACCAGAGTAAAAGAACCCTGCAGGGAAATGTCAAAACCAAAGAGGACGAAAGAGGACCCAGAGACAAAATGTCTGAATCTTTCAGCAATAATGTAAACAAACTGCACTGTTTGTTTACAACATGGTATTTGCATGCACAAATACCGTGTTATATTTTATCTTTCAAATAGCTAAAACCAAAATATGGTAAAAACATTTATTGTAGTGAATAAAAATGTTAGATCACTGTGATATTTAGTTGAAAGTGCATCATTCCATTAACAACAGAAATTAAAGTCGATTCTGCGAATTATATGCAAATGTGCAATTTAACCAGTATCCACTAGGAATTTAAAAAAGCAATGAAATTTGCTAGTTTTGTATGCAGTTACAGGGCCTGATGCTATTAACATAGCAAGCTAATAGCATCTCTCTCAACACGTTTAAGACAAAATAATGTGCAGTAATACGTTTTTTTTCCACTTAAGACAAACCAGTGCAATATATTTTTATTGCATTTTTCTACTTTTCATACTACTAATGTAACTTAAAAATATAGAAAGTCTGCGGTACAACTAATTATATGTTAGTGCTGCTATTGCAATGTGCCAAATGTGCAGCAGTCATATTTGAATTTGAGGTTGATGTTTACCTTGAAGCCAAAACCTGATGTAAGAATAACGTCACACCCAATGTATTTGTGCTCCAGTTTAAAGTAGGAAAATTATTGGGATTAGCCAACTGTAGTGCTTAGCAACCAGAATCATTACCGTTAACAACTTAAGTGGATTAACCACATATTTCTCTGCATTGTATTCATTCAGACACAGCAGAAACATTTTCACTAAAATATTCTTAACGTATGCAACAAATCTGATATAGAAACAATCAGAAATGCAAATAAACAATTTGCTTCTGATGTTTTCACCACGTTTTTCTTTCATTAAGTCATGCTGGATTTTGAGGTTGGCTATGAGCTGAGATTTATGTTCTAGTTGCAAGTAATCACAGAAAACTGATAGGACATGCTAGTATTCCTTGACCAGAGTACTATTGTTACTAATATACATTAGCTACGAATTTTCATGTGTTGTAAGTTTAAAACTCTAGAAACAAGTTTGCATACAGATGTTATGTCGTACTTTGTATTTGTCTACTATATTAATGAGAAACAATCAGTTGTGTGCAACAGTCGCTAAAAATGAAATGTAGATGTTGTGCTTCCTTTTGTTTTTGAGGATTGTCGCACCAAGCCAAACTTATGTTCCAGCAGCAAGTTGGAAAACCAGTGGGATTCTTAAAAGTGTTGCGCTTAGTGGCTTAGCTAACCATTGTTAACGACACTATCTAATAATTATGCATTTCTCAGCAGGTTGTATATTCAAAAACCAAGATTTTTATCTGCAGGAGTAGCATTGAATTTTGAAAATGGAGGTGATAATTAGTCGTTCTCACTCTGAACTCTTCCTTCAGAAGGTGTTTTCAGGTTTTCTTTTTTTAAAGCTGAAAATGTTGATGTCTGAGTACAATTGCGTTGCACCATAAAGCCTGACTTTCAGACTGGAATATTCATCTTAAGGAGGCATTGTAGTTGACTTTTTTGACTCGGAACTTGGAAAATGTGACGTCCAGGAACACATAAGATCATAGGAGGAGTAACATCCCTGCAGGTTCTATTGGTCGATACGGCGCACGTAAAGGTCTCTGCTTGCAGTATGTTTCCTTCGTCATCGGTGAAGGGTTTTCTTAATTTTGCCCATTACAGACGAGCACCGTCACAAACTTTCCTCTTTACTGTATGCATGACTTAAAGTGCCCCATTGTGAAGTTAATATTATGTTGCATGAGCCAACGAAAGGCAACCAGACCTCGCAGGACACTGCTGTTCAAAACAAAAGAGCTCAGTGTGCCCCTACTAGTTCCTCCAATTATCGGGACCCCTCCCCCGCTTAGTTCTGACCTTTGCTCTTTGTTGGGCCCCATTTTGCTCTTCCCCTGAACGCTGACATTCCACGAGTGAGGTCAGGTCTTTGTGCCCAAGAAAATTAAGGTGAAATTAACCTGCTTGTACTTCACATCTTTTCTCCTAAAGTCCCTGAACCCAGCAGGTAGGAGCCCTGTGCACTAAAAAAGTTTTTCCTTGGTTGGCTTCAAGTGACTGCTACTGCACAATATTCCATTTTTTTTTTAAAAAACAGAAGTCACTGGGAACACAATGGGGCTTTTCTTTAAATGACTTTTACTTTCTGTGCTCTTACAGCTTTCAGTAGCTTAAATAAAGTTTTTTTTTATTCCTGGGAGTGGAAAGTGTGGTAAACAGAGTGGCTGGCAGAAAGAGAGGGAGGGAGTGAAACTTACCACATCACATCTCTTTTCCACCTTTTTTACCCTGACATTTGCTGCTTCTCCTACCTGCTGAATGAACGAGGATCTCACACGTTTGTGTTTGTTGGATTTTAGGTAGTCAAATGAAGCATAAAAAAAATAGACAGGAAATGATCTCACAAACAACCTCCTTCTCTTTGATTGCTCTTATTTTCCATTTGCAGAGAAAGTGACTAATGCTCTCTGCTAAGCCTGCTGCACTGTTCCACCAACGGGTTTCCAGCAGGGACTGCTGTTCTTGTGATTTCTGTGGTGTTTCAACTTTCTGGAGCAAGTGATACTTGCGCATGTTGTTGCTCATGAACATTTTTATTTGTCGTTTCAGGTGGACAGGTTTTTGAGGCTGAGATGATAATTCATCACTGTCTTTTTCCGTATTTAATGTGACACTTAGCTTTTACAAGTCAACCGAAAGCCGAAAGAAAAAATATAACACTTTTAAAAATAGGTAACATTTGTTCAGGCTACCTTGAAGAGATTTTCCAAATATATTCGTTTGTGAATGTCTGTGGTCCACGTTCCTTTTCAGGTGACCTCGGAGGTTTACTTTTAGACTTCAACTCTCTGTTTCCAAAATGTTACTTTTTTTCTTTCTTTCTACCAAAGTCATTCCTTTGTGGCTCACTTTGAAGCTGATAAACAAAATCCCACAAATATCTGAAGGTCTGGTTTACCTGTTTATGATTTCCTCTTTCTTGACTATTTTTGTCTGATGAAATTATCCCCAAAGCATCATGCTGCTACCTCCTTGTTTCAATGTGAGCAAAGTGTTCATTCTGAAAGTGAAAAGTTCTGTTTTTTCTGTTAACTATGGCCCAAAATGTCCGGTTGAATCTATTCAGAAAACATTCTCCTTTAAGGTTCTGGGAGGTGATAGGATGTTTTTTTATTCCAAAGAAAATGCTTCTGTTTTCCCACCTTCCTACATCCAGAAACATGGAGAATGCAGCAGATTACTGCCACACACAACCACGACTAGTAAAAAAAAAAAATCCAGCTTCTTCAGTGCTACTTTCCATCTTGTATGTTCATTAACTTTAGAAAAACACCCAGTGTTGTAGCTGTGCTCTTGTATTTTTCCCAAATAGTTTTCATTGTTCATTGGTGCGTGTCAATACGTGATTGTCTAAAATTATTTTTAGTCTTCCCCTGCCTGATACTTTTGTACAATGAGATTATTTTTGCACTTCATGCAACCACATCACCAACCATGGCTTCAGCTAAATTATGCAAATGTCAGCAAGATCCTGTTAACACAGCTGAACTTCAAGTAAAACATTTAATATGTGCACATTTTTACAACCAGGTCATTGCAGGTTTTTATTCCTTACTTTACCCTATAATAAGTTTGTTTTTCAGTTGAACTACAAATGGATGTTAGTCATGTTAGAGTGGAAATGTTTTGGAAAATATTTGCCATGCTTTGATTTTTAAAGAGGTGTGGTTACACTGAGAGAGCAACAATATATTTGAATTAAAATATATTAATTGTGTCACCACGGTTCAACAACCAGAGGAACATATTCAGCATGAAATGCCAACATAAAGAAGAAGATAAACTGTTGAAAAAACAGCTTTTGCTCTGAACCCAACCCTTTGATCTCTACGGGTAATTACACTCCTCGTAATTATATTCCAACTGAATGTGGGGTGAATGACAGCACAAGGCCTGGAGGCTTCTTCGGAGTCTGTAAGACCTTAACATTTCCAACATAACGAGATTAAAGCTGAAACAGAGAGCATTTGATTTCTCAAAGCTTTAAAAGTGGAGAGCCAAAAGAAATGGAAAATAGTATCAACGTAGCCAGCTTGAATGTGCTCAGGCAAGTCCGGGACGTTTTTAGGATCGCTTAAAACAAAAAGTTAAACTGTGTCATAGGTGGAGTGCTCTAAATGTTTTAGACGAAGAACCAGAATGGGTGGAGAATAAATTGTTGCAATGATGACTGAGTGGTAAAAGTTACTTAGTCGAAAATGACAGGCGGTTAAGTGGAACAGTAACAGGAGTGGCAAATGTTCAAGGTGAAATAATTTTGCTGAAGATGATAAAGGGAACTGAAAAACGCTGTCTGTCTAGTGCATCAATATCATCAGATGCAACTCTCGTTTTCTCAAGTTACAACCACAGACTTCAGTTTATTTTTCATTAAATAACATTCAATAAGTAGAGCATTACTGTTAAGTGAGAGAAAGATGATCTTTGGATTTCACCAATTTTTTTAACCAATAAATTCTGTAAAGTGTAGCGCGCATGTGCACTCACTTTGTTGCCTTATTAGAGAAAAGCATTCCCACAACATGATGCTGCCAACGCCATGTTTAACAGTGGGGATTGTGTGTTCACAGAGCCAGTGTTTGTTGTCAAAGGATTTTTGTGTGAAAGCCTAAAGGTTTACTTGTTCTGAAAACAACATATTCTCCCACATCTTTGCCAAGTTCTTTACATGCCTTAAACAGAGCTTATTGTGGCTTCTTTCAACAATGGCTCTCTTGTTTTATGGCGTGGACAGCCAATAGGTGTCATGTCAACAGATTTCCCTACCTGAGCAGTAAATCTTTGAAGCTTCTCAAAAGGAAACCAATAATCACCTAGCCTGTCATTTAAAATGGATCCCCATTTCTTGGCAGTTTTGCAGTCATGTGATACTCTTGGTGGATCAAACCTTCACGTTTGTGTTGATTTACCACATGAAATTCTTAGAGCGTGTTTAGATTTGTGGCTGAATTACTATGCAATAGTCCTTAGTGCAAAATCTTCTTGCCAAATAAACATACTTGCTTTTTGCCCGCTTTCAAATCAGTGGAAAACTACACAACATTGAAAGATGAAGTAAGGACTGTCCCTAGTAAGCTCACAAATAGGATTGTTCATTAATTATTTCAGCTTCTATTTTATTAAAAAAAAAGATCTTACTGATATTCATTGTTATCCAAGTGACATTTATACAGCAACATGCTTTAACAGTTTCTAAATACAGATAACAGCAATTTATTGCCCAAGTTAATGGACTAAGGGGATGCTAAATAATGTAACACTTTTTTTTAGAAACGGATGTTTATCTCCCAGGTTGTGCAGAAATTGTGTTGCCCACTAATTTGCAGCGTAGTAAATTAAAGATATAGGAATTGTGCTAATTACTTTGGCAGGAGCAATAGTCAGGTTTTGCAAAGAGTATAAGCACACTTAATCTGGTGCACATTTGAAGAGTTAAATATGGAAAGGAGGAGTGGCCGCCTGCTATTTTGTGTGTAATTTGACACCTTATTTCTGCAGAACAGACCGCTTAGACAAAAGATGTTGCCTCTGGCCATGTGGTAGGGATACTTGTAACAATCTATTCACTTAAAACAAACAGGTAAAAGATCATTTGAGTGTCATAACTTTAATAACTGTTGACTCCAGTCTTTTGTTCGCATTTAAACTGGAAAACACTAATCATTTTTATATGTTTAGTTAAAGAATATACAACAGCGCTTTAAAAAGAATTGGCCAATCAGTGACATGATATTCGGAAGGCGGACCTCATAGTTGTGATCGACATGAAACTCAACCAATCGCTGACCGCAGCGGTCGACTTCAACCAATCAGGTGGCAGATCGAGCTGTAGCGTCCAACGAGAGTGGATTTTCAACGAGCCCGAGAGAAAAGCGGAGAAGGGAAGACATCATTTCTCTCTCAGTGTCTTTGGGGCTAAGCACTCGACGGCAACAAGACCGAGGAAAAAAAATCTTTCTCAACAGGATTATATTTATATAAAATAAATCACAAAAACTAGCCATGGCCGATACAGCTGTTGATACAACCGCCACCACAGAGGTTACAGCCAAGGTGCGTCTTATTCAGTTTCAATCTCTTCGAAGTGTCGTGTATATAAAAAAAGATTTAGCTAACTTTTTTTTAAGCTCGTAACAGTTTTACTGAATCAGACTGGACAGGTTGTATAAAACGTGAGTGCTAAAATTACTTGATTTAACTCGAGGAACTACTTAACGAAATGTGCATTTCCTAAATTACTGCCTTAAAATAAAAAAATTTCGACGTCGTTCTTTGATGGAGGTAATTTCTTGTCGATGTTCTGTTATGAAAACCTGTTGTGTGTTTAAGATTTAAATTTTTTAAAAAAATGCGCAAATGTGGTCCGCTTCGAGGAGACAAAGCGGCTGAAACGGTGCAGCTGGTGAAGCGGAGCTGCTGTGGGCGGGAAGCCGAAGCGCGTTCACATTGCGCGGCATGGGGACCGAAACGCTTTCTTTTCTAAACAGTTATCCACCGTGCGCCATCTGTATGCTTCAAACTGTTTTTTTTTTGTTTTGTTTTTTTTTTATATATATATATATATAATCTTATTTTATAGTTGTGGTTGTCGAAAGAAGATTGTGTTCGGACGAGAAAGAAGATTGTGTTTGAGCGAGTGTACTTTACGTGAGTGAGCGCTGACTCGGTGCTTTTATTTTGTAGGAGCTGAAAGAGAAGAAAGAAGCAGAAACAGCGGAGGAGGAGAAGTCGACCGAGAGCGGGGACGCACCTGCCAATGGCACCGTGAGTCTGAGACACAAACCCCGCCGCATGGCCTTTTGTCTTAGCGCCCTTCGTCGTGCAGGTGTCGCTGCTCGCCCGGCTCCCCCTCCTGCTCAGCTGCTCCCTCCGCTCCAGGCTTTGTTTGGGTTGTGAAATGGCACAGATGTTACAGCTAGCAACCCCTTTTTTTTTTTTAAGACGTCTCCGTTGGCCTCTCTAGCCTGTGGTTTCTCACAGCTTGGTAGTTAATCCTCTGGGGAGGTAACAAGACCTCCACTCACTTCCCCTTGTTTTTTTGTTTTTAAGTGACCCCCAAAGGAGATTGCATTTGCTAGGTTGGGATCTGTTTTAATTCCATTTTTAAACAAGTTAAAATTGTTTTATTTATTTATTTTTGCAGAATGGTGCTGAGCACAGTGACAAAAAGGAAGAAACTACAGAGGAGGAGCAGAAGAATGGAGCTGGTATGTTGCACTTTTAAAAAATAAGTAAATAAATCAGATTTTAAATGCTTACATGTTTCCTCTGATCTCTTTTGCCCTTGATGCATGAATTTCGATTAGGTGTTCACCCCGAGCAAGCGCTTACCTGGATATAGGTCGTAAAGGGTGTAATTTATGATGTGACACCCCTGTCTTTGCAGAAGATGCGGAGGCGGCGCCCCCTGCTGAGGAAACCGATGCACAGCCGGTGAAGCGTGCAGCCGAAGAGGAGGAGGTGAGTTGACATGAGGCTGAATTGTAATTGCTCTGAGTAATATGGTGATTTGATTATCTCCTAAATCTGTTTTTTTTTTTTTTTTCCTTTTAGGACAAAGCTGAGACAAAAAAGCAAAAGACAGAGGAGAATGGCGACTCAAAAGAAGCAGACGTGGAGGCCTAAGTCTTTACCCTGCTACTTGTTTGCAGCACTGTCCTACCAGTCTGGTCAACATTGCTTCATAGAGCTTGTGCTTTCTATGTTTTCGATAGAGATTTTCCTTTCGGTTGCTCCCATATTTTCACATTGCACTGGAGTCTTTGAGATGTAGTGGCCCTGCATACTTCTTTTTTATGAAATGTTATTTATTGGTCTTGAAAATGAGCTTTTTTTTCTACTTGTTCAAAGTCGGGCCACGCCATAAGATCAGTTTTTTTTTCATTTCCTGACGTTTCACATCAGTCTATGTTAGAAGCACAATCTCTATGCAAGTGTTGACCAGGTGATTCATACATACAGGCAGCTGCTCACCCTCAAGGCTCATGTTGACCTCTCAGATACACTTAAAAGGACCAAAGATAAGTTTTAAGCAGGGGATAATAGACAGTTGTTGGCATTATTAGTCGAGGTGTCAATTTTTGTGTTAAGCTGCTACTTAATTCCTGCCTGCCCTGTTAACATAACAGATGGTGCAAATGAGTAAAGGGGCTGTCTCTTACACCTCTGCTGATTGTGTAACCATTTTCTTTCCTGTGGAGGCAGGAGTTTGCAATGTTAATTAACCCCTCTTAAATCTTAAGGCTTTGGTCATTTGTTCTGTATGCATTCCACGCAAGTTTGTACCATTTATACTTTTTTTTTCTTGCATTTTCAACGAGTTTTATGTTATGGTTGAGTAGCCCACTTCTGTGTAGACCGCCTTTTTCATAACCAGAATGGCATTTGGTTACTTCAGCCACTGCTTTGTATATTCTGATTAAGAAATAAATTTGTCTTTTTATTTGTGTGTCTGTCCTATTTCTATGCTAACAGATCAGTTTTCTGAAATTGATTTTTTTTTCTGTAACTGGTGATGTCATTTGACCCACTTTTTTTTTTCTTTAACATGGAAAATGGCTGGCAGGAAGCGGCAGGGATAATTTCCCTCACTTGGTAATGGAACAGAAAGCAGGCAATCAATAGCTTTCTGTTAAGCTATGGCTCCCCCTGGTGGTGTACTTTAGAACTTCAGCTTCCAGTCAACACGTATCCACGATCCCCATCGATTTATCCCTGCTTCAACACATGTGAATCCTTTTATCGACAGAAGCCTGTAAATGAACCACTTATTGGATTCAGGTGTGTTGGAGAAGGGACACTTAAGTTTTCTTGGCTACCTTTGAATTGTACCATCATTAAACAGTCAAATAATAGTAAAAAAAAAAAAGTCCTATTTTGGTCTTATAAAAACCTGTTTCATGGAAACTTAAATCAGTTCAATAAAGTAATTTTAAATTCAGAAATTTGTGACTTTTGAAAAGTGAGATGTTCAGTTCCACCTTGAGTTTTTGACCTTGAACTGGACCAAAATTCTCTCATGGTAATCCTTATAGAAATCCAAAAGGAGATTACTTTAAATATCTGGGAGTTGTTTTTGATCCCATCTTTCTAAAACATTCCTGCATAACAGGAGCAAACAAGCTAATTAGTTTTAATTCTGTGATGTAAACCTTGTACAAACAAGTGTAAGTTTTAGATCAAAAGCCTTTTAAGTTTGATGAGCTTTAGTCTTTTATGTCAACTTTGTCTTAGAGGCGATTAGTCAAATGATTTCTCATTTTAAAAGTCTCAGACTTTGAATAGTTTCCCACCAGTAATCAGTTAACTCACTTTAGAGCCATTACACCATAATGAAATATTATCTCAAACTAATACTGTATTGTGAACATGGAAACATGTCCACTGCTCTGGACATTATTTTCTTCATTGAAGTCTAATTTTACTGTTTTAATGAACTACAGTCTTATTCTACTGTTTAAATATGGTTCTTTGTATGATTAGTTTTAAACTTACTTCTAATAAGCTTCACCAGGAGAGAGGGCTTCAAATAAGCTTTTGACTAGAGGGAGTATGCAAAGAACAAAGGTTTCTTTGAAATGTAACATTGTTTTATGTCCCGTCTTTGATTAAATGCATTTGAAATAAACGTGTTTATATCCTGACAATATAGAATCCAGGCCTTGTGAAATTTCCTGAAAACTCTTGTGGGGTTTTTTACAAGACTTCCCTCCCCTGAACTTCCCACTAATGCACTCTGATGTAGCAGTCTTAGCTGTCAGCTTCTGTAGCAATGACCTTTTCTGACATACCCTCCCAATGACTGCTGGACAACTGTGGAGTCAGCAGTCCTCCCTCTGTCATGACCAAATTCTGGATTAAAATCTCTTATAGTGGCATTATGTAACATTCTGGTATTTTATTCTGGGTTTTCACTAGAAATAAACCTTAATCTTAACAGCCACTTGAAATATCACACTGTTTTGTTTTGGAAATTAAGTTTCAGATAATGTTGTAATTTACGACAGTAGTTAGAAATTAAGGAGTACATTTTCTACAAAAAACTCAGAAATTTTGAGATTAATTTCAGAAATCTTTTCGAAGAAAACTTTAACATTTCTGAGCTTGAAAAGTCGAAAATTTGCGTGAAAAAGCTGAAATTTTGAGATGAATCTCAGAAATTTTCTAGAAAAGACAAGGAAATTTGAGTTCGAAAAGTAAAAAAAAAAAATACTACAAAAATCACTGAAATTTTTAGATTAATCTCAGAAATTTTCTAGAAAAAACTAGGAAACTCGTGAGTTTGAAATATCAAAAATTTGCTTGAAAAATCTCAAAAATTTCTAGCAAGATTAATCTCAGAAATTCTGTAGAAAAAAAATCAAGCTGTGGAACTCAGAAATGTCCTTGTTTTTTCAAGAAAAGAGATTAATCTCATGAAATTTTAAACCTTTTTTCAATCTACAACAGCATTAATATACCCTCATAGTTAGATGCATCTCTAATCATCGATTAAAATTGCACTCAGAGGAAAATAACCACCACAGGAGTCAAAAGTGGCAAAAATGATCATTTTAGTTTGAACTGAGCCCTGAATAAAAGTAGCTTTTACATTGATGCTAACATTGAGCAGTAAGGAGGTACCATATAACACAAAGTGTTGTATTTCTTGTGTTGTATTTCTTCCTCAAGCAAGCTGCAACAGCGAGATCCAGACAGTTCTTGTTTCCTAAGAAACGTTAGCGTGGCGGGGATCAGCTCAGTCCAGGAGGCTTCAATAGTAGACAATTACTGATATTCTGCAGAGGCGCCTGAAGGTTGAGGTGCTCAGTGGAGCCGCCAAAACAAAAGGCTCCACATTACCATAGTTTCTGCCTTTTGAACAGCTGGCATGGCACAGCAGATGCAACAACAACTTAAATGTGTTTGCTGAGAGAGATGAACTTCCAATGGAGACCTCTGCAGACAACCGAGGGATTATCTTTGTACAGAAATGATGGGCTGAGCACGGTGGAGCAGAAGCCTACTATTTTAAGCATGCACCCTAATGATGACAAGGAAGGACTCGCTGCTGGCTCCGCGAATCCCCACGGTTGTTTTTTTGTTTAGTTTTTTTTAACGCCGTCCGTCCACATGAGTCTTCTCTCTGTTTGCCGTTCCTCTGTTTTGCTTGGTTTCACACCCCAGTTTCAACTTCTCCTCTTCCTGACAATGACAAGAATCACTGTCATTATTACAATGGAATGGCCGGGAGTACGTTGACGGCTCAGAGAGCTGTAACGTGGCTTAGTGAGGACCTACAACACTGTTCTCTGGGTCTGATAAAGTACTGCGAGTCATCTGATGACTCCATTGTTAGCTGGAATTGACTCAAAATTCAGTGTGAAAGTCTTAATTGTAGACCAGACTAAGAGAAATGTTCGTATTGCTGCTAAAATGCACAATGCAAAGCCCTCCTAAACTATGGGAAAATTCAACCAAGCATTAGGGCCACACTCAGAAAAATTAAAATAACTAGAATAAAGTCATAAAACTGCGAGAATGAAGTTATAATATAACAAGAATAAACTCGTACAAGAAAAAAAGTCATAATATTTTGAGATAAAGTCATAATATTACAAGAATAAAGCCAAAATAATACAATAATAGAGTCATAGTAGTATGACTTTTTAAAGTCGTAATACTACGGCTTTCTTCTCATATTATTTCAACTTTGTTCTTGTGATTTTATGACTTTATTCTCATACCAGTATTCTATTATGACTTTATTTGTAATTTAATTTTTTCATATTTTCCCAGTGTGGCCCTAAAACTCCATCGTAGAAACGTGTAAAGTTGTGGCCAAAGGTTTTGAGACTGGCTCAAGCTTTACTGCCTCAGTGTTTGTGGTGGAAATCTGCACGGAGTCCAGGATGTTACACGGAGCCCTAAATATTTACTTTCCGGAAGAAATTGTTATTAGAGTCAACACTTTGTGATTCTATCTGAATCAGAACAGCAAGATTGTTGTTTCAAAAGAAAATTGTTGTTTCACATGAAATCTTTTGTTAATCTTAAAGGAAACATGTGTCATAAGTGCTTTGGATAAAAAAGTGGATTGCTTGCAAAAGATATTGCTGCTAGACAAGCCAAACCGACCATTTGTGAAAGCACCAATTCACAGCACATGTGGTCTTAAGGCACTTTTAAAAAAAACCTGCAACCCCAATACGTAACTTTCATATTAAAAAATGATTTTTACATATTTGTTAAATATGTTGTAACAGTATGGTTTGAAACACATGATACGTGGAAACAAAAACAAGCTCCTCTGCCTTCTCCCTGCTGCTCTAATGGAGCAGCTACACCGCTCCATTAGAAACAACCAATCAGAGCCAGGAGGAGGGTCTTAGCGCTGTCAATCATCCATGACAGCCGCTCTCTACCTCCCCTTTTCTTTCTGCCACGTACAGCTGGCCGCCAATGTTCAGGCTAGTTAGCATGACCACTGATGACGGTGGATAAACAGTTTTTCTGTAACTTGTTTCTCCACAAATAACACATTGAGCAACGCATACATGATTGACAGCGCTCTGATTGGTTATTTTTCACCGGGAAAGATGAATTTTTGCAGAGGGCAATACTAGCACTAGGAGGAGGACCTTTCTCTTTACACAGACTATCTGTCTCTTACTAAACTGTCACGACATGATGACAGTTTGAACAAATATGTAAAACACATATTTTTGTAAACGTTACATTCTGTAGCTTTAAGGGACAGCGGTTGCCAACAATGCTCAGGAATGAATGACACCAGGCAAATTTGAGTTTCTCATCCAACTTTCAGACTTTTGCCTTGCGGCAAGGAGAGTATTGGATTACCACCACTGGAGAGCTCAGTCAGGAATAGTAATGAAAAGGCTTGAGTGTTTCTTGAATGAGAAGTTATAGTTTTGGACTCTTGCTGGGTCTCAGACAGACAGCAAAGCAGTGACAACTGACAAATACAACAAGGACAGGCTGAGATTCTGCACAATATACTCAACTGAAATGCTCAGCTAAAGACCCATAAAGACTATTAGGGGCATCTGGAAAAACAACTTTTCTAACTGGGAAAAGGAGAACAGTCACATTTTGGTTTAAAAACACTGCCATAAGTCTAGCAAAATGGAAAACGGTTTGAAGGGAAAAGCAATAAGAAACTGCTGCATGGATCAAAACTCAATGTAAAATATATATCATATCATAACCCTTTGAAACTCCAGACTAAAGACTAAATCCGACTAAAGGATCTAACAACATCAAAGCAATAAAGTTTGTGAAATAAAAAAACTTCAGTCAGTCACAAAACCTATGGCCACCACCTTACTCAGTATTCTGGTGAATATTAAAAAATTGTTGTCCTGGAAAAGCTCTTAGATTTATGTGAATTTTAACAGTGTGAACAGCCACTGGCAGCACTTTTAGTGAAGAAAATCCTGCTGAAGTGTGATATTAGCACTCTAACTCAGAGAAACAGGCAGGTAGACATTAGTTTGGCCTCGAGACCAAATAAAAAAAAAAAAGCTTTGAGAGACCACACCGCAGCAGCTCATGCAGATGTTAGGCAACTGATCAAAGGAAAGAAAAAAGAGGGAAAAAAGCTGTGGTTAGCTTGCACTTAGTCATTCACAACACGATCCTAAACACCAAAAAAAAAAAAAAAAAAAAAAAACAGGCAACAACAAAACGATGCAGTAAGGAACCAGCTCAGTCACACACACATTCACGGAGAACGTCACATTCATTTGCAGAAAGTTCAGGAAAGAAAGCATGAGCGCACACACTGTATGAACACTGGTCATGTTTATGCTTGCTGGAGTTGTGGCCAATGTCTGTCTATCTGTCTGTCTGTCTGTCTGTCTGTCTGTCTATCTGGCTAAAATCTGTGAAGCTGTGCTGAAACAGTGTGTGGCAGGATGTGCAGTGTGTCTGTCACTATCAGCGCAATGGAGGTAGACGCACGCGCACACCGAGCGACGGTATGGGAGCGTGTGGCGTTCTGTGTTTTTTTTGTTTTTTTTTGTGAGGGTAAAGTGAATGAAGAGGCTTTGCTAAATGTGCGCCAGTAACGGCTGGGTCTCGCTTTCGGGGGGCTCACCCTCAGGGGGGGGCAGCTGGTACACCACGCAGAGGGAGGAGTACAGGCAGCCCACGAATGACATCAGGCTTGCAAAGTACATCACCCCCTGAGCCCCGCCCACCAGTGAGGTCAGAGGTCCCATCGCCACAGAGACGAGGATCTGTGCCAGGAAATACTGACAGCTGAGCAGAGAGATGTCCACCCCCATCCCGCGTCTGGTCCCATCTTCGGATGAGCCGCAAAACTGCAAGGCAGAATAAAATTTGAATTGAGGTAAATAAACAAAAATAGCCTCATCTTGCCTGTACATGCGATAACCAGCTGTTTTTGTCTTTCATTGTGCAATACAACATAAATCTAACCAATTGCAGAGCATTTCAGAGTTTAGTTTGCAGCCCACCAGCAGGTAGGCCTTTATCACAAGACATGTATCCATTTTTACCCTGGAGCATTAAGTGTGACTAAGAATGATGGTGATTCAGATCCGGAGAGCGTTCACACCAGCCCTATTTAGTCCGCTTTAATCAAACTTTAATTTGTGTGCCAAGAAAGTCCAGTTTGTTTGGGGAGATGTGAATTCTGATGTGGACTAAAAAGAGCAAACTTTATTCCACCTAAAAACTTAGGTCTAAAGTCGGTTGAAATGAATTCTGATGCGTTTTCGAATGCATATGATGCTAAACGCACCAGAGAATGCTCAAAAAGTAGGAAGCGCACTACAGTGCAGAGCATTCTGGATAAATACAACCAAAACGTGAGTCTAACACCAGCGGGAAAAATAGATTATGATCTTTTGCCAAAGATAAAAGAGAAATCCTTCGAGTACGAAACTCTGATGCCTCTCCATTTATCTTTACATTTCAAAAGTCAGAAAGTTGTGCATTGGAGAATTTCTTTCTGTTCCTGTCAAAGGTTTACAAACACACCCACTTAGCATCAATGTCAATTTAATTCTGTATTTTGGTGCATTCGAACTGTCCTTTTCTCAAGGTGGAATAATATTACCACACAAACTTTACAATTTTTCAAACAACAGGTGTGGGCACAGGTTTGCCAGAAGTAATGTTAGCGTGTAAGTATATTGCACAACAAAAGTAATGGACCTTATTGGATTACATTTAAAAGTGCAAACTGTGCCAGGAAATAAAATAAAATGAGCTCAATCAAATTTGCCACAAGTCAACAAATGTAAGAAGAGCCACAAGAAATAAAAATATGTGCACCAAACGTAATGTAATATGCAGACTGAGGGAAAAAAGTAATGGTTTAAAAATCAATCTAATTTCTAACTAAACAATGCTTCATGTTTAAGCATTTAAAGACATTCTGCACAACAGAAGATGCTCACCTGAGGGCTCTGGTAGTATTCACACAGCAGAGAGTAAGGCAGCGTACACAGAGAGGAGAAGAGCACGCCATAGGTGACACAGAGCGAAAGCACCACATAGAGGTTGGTGGATAGCGTTGCAAGGCCTGTGCCCAAACCAAATGCCAAATAGGCAAAAAAATAAAGAGTGCGTAGGGAGAAACGTTCCTCTAGCTTCTCCAATATGGCTGCAAGTTGTAAAAGAGACACAGAAAAACAACGAAAGTCAGACGTTATTTTGTATAAATCCCATCAAATTAAGACTTTTCTTGCATGAAAAGTGAACCGTTCAGTTCACCGCTTGCCTGAGTAGAAAGCAGCGCTGAATGCATAGATGCACATGCCCCAGCAGCCCATGCTGACGCCAGCATTGTAGCGCTGGTAAGCTTCAGAGTCGTGCGGCGCTTTGGGGTCTCCCTCAAACACAACCTCGCCCATGAAGTCGGTGTAGAAGAGCAGCATACCTTCAAATGACAACCAGCCTGAAAATAAAAAGAAAAGAAAAAAAAACATCAATTTATTCAACAAATTCAAAACAACAATGGTTTCAATGACTCTCACCTAAAAAATGATTAGTGCATAAACTCCTCAGAGAGGGAGGCATTCTGTAGATGGCTATACACAGCAGCTTCATGGACATCTGGGATTCTCCTGTCTCCACATTTTCACTTAGATCGCTCTCGTATCGCACTCCGTTTAGCAAAATATTTGCCACCTGGTCCAGAGAAAGGCAAGAACATGTAGCTTAGAGTTAAAATATAATGGTAGCTGTCAGACAAACAGACCTTTGAAAGAGTTGCCGACCTGTTGGCTGAAAGTCACTGTTCTCCTCCTCCCGTTCTCCAGCCCAACAATCTGCGTCGCTGTGGGCTCCTCCATCAGCGCCAGACTCTGAGGCCGCTTCAGGATCCCAGCAGAGGATCCCCGGTGCAGCCCGGCCCCTGACTGAGTCCCGGCTGTGCCCGCAGGAGCGCCTTGAGTTTGTGCATCTCCCTCGGTCTGAGGCCCCTCTGCCTCCTGAGCCTCTTCAGCTGCATGGGACCCCCCATCAGCCTCTGTCTGCCCTGCAGAGGGGTTACCCGCCTTCTCAGAGGGAGGAGATTCTCCTGGAGGCAGGGGCATGGCAGTGGAGCCTGAAGCCAGGCTCGGAGGAGTCTGCTGGCCTGTGTAGCAGTCTATAAGCACGCTGTCTATGTAGGAGGTTCCTAACGAAGATGCAAACTCATTGATGCCAGTGAGTGAGCTGTCCCTGCTTATAAAGCTGCCATATTTTGGAGTGAGGGGACTCAGGGGCGATATGGGGCTGGTGAGGCCGGCACACAGGCGTGCGTTGGCGCTGCAAGAGTGGGCCAAGGGGTCAGAATTACCTTGATGAGGCTTGGGAAAGCTGTAGCTGTAAAGTCCGTCCTCGTCCTCCTCGTCCAGCCCCGGACCGGCTCCGGGGGGGACGGAAGGAGACGGAGGCAGAAGGAGGCTGGGGCTTTTCAGATGGTCCTTACTGGAGTTTCTGTTTGGTTGGCTCTTTGGTAACGGCCTCTCAGGAATGCTCATCAGAGTCATGGCGGTGGCGAACACCAATGTGATGCTGGTGAACAGGTATATGACCCTGAGCTGACCCCCCATGGACCTCCCAAACTGCGTCTGGTCCCAGTTGATGCCGCCTACGATGTAGCCAAATCCTCCTCCCAGTCCTGAGCGCGGGAATGGAGAGGGAAAAGTAAGAAACTCCAGTTAAAACAGTGATTATCGCTTTTAGGTGCTGTTGTTTGTGCATTTAACAAACTAAACGAGGATCGGACATTTTGGTCCTTCACCAGCTTTGTTTTGTACTCAACTTTTTAGGGGTATAAATCGCAGCTATGCGAAATTTTTCACCTATCATGTCTAAATTTGCACCCATCTGGCAGACATCTTCAACTTCACACTTCCTATATCAACTGATAAATTTATATAATGGTATATAATTTAGATCATTTATATCTGCTCATTGTCTGCTGTACAGAAATGTGTATTTATGTACTATACATGCACTAGCAGACAGAGATAAGTACAGGAGTGAAAAAATTGTACTTAAAACTAGCCTAACCTTAGGTATAATTTACTTCAGTAGAAGTAAAAACTTTTACATAACCAGAATAAAAAAACTTGTTGAGATTTAAGATGTTATTTACAAGAATGTCCTGGGGCTGAGAGCAGTAGAACAAAATAAATGTACAAAGATCTGGCCAGTATTTACTAGAAGCGTTTAATTGCCAACAAAAAGCTTTTCCACTATTTATGAAGAAGATTATACAAAATTTTTAATGCAATTTTTTGTCAAACTTTAAGTAAAACCAGAAAAGATATTTCTCCTTTCGCACCAGAAACAAACTTCTTTGGACGAGTAAAAACAACTTTAAATCAGAGCATAAACAATCGTGGCTTCAACTTTACTTTACAAAACTCTACATTTAAGGTAGAAAGAGAGTTATTGTTCTGCTTAAGCCTAAAAAGTCAACATGTACCACACGAGCAAAATACATTTTCTTCATTACCTGCTAGTAACGCGTGAATGTTGAGCCCCCGGTCCTGATCCTCCGGGCTGCACACATCCATCATGTAGGCATGGCTCGGGTTGTCGGCCGAGTCGGCGCTGAAATCCATCAGGACCACGCCACACACCGTCAGGATGATTCCCCACTTGTGATTCGATGCCGTGTCGGCCAGGACCCCCCCGATGTCTCGTCCGTTCAGAACCAGGGTCAGACCCACTAAAGCCCCTGAGTAGAAGAAAAGCAGAAAAAGATACATTTCTTAGATTTTTAGGAAGAAACTGGTGTGTGTTATCTAAACTTAGGTTGGTAAGAGATCATATAAAATCTAATATGTTTATTTTAAGGCATTATATCTAATGTGTACTCCTGTCGTTAAAATAATCTGGCATAATGAATATTAAAGCTACAGTAAGGATTTGCAGGCCATTTATTTTCATAAACTGTCTTGAGACATGTTGTCAGAAGTTCATAGAATAAAAGAACAATGTTCATTTTACTCAAACATAATAAACATGATTATTTATGTTCTGATTTAAACATATACCTATAAAAAGTAAAATTAGAGAAACTGATCATTTTAAGTGGTCTCTTAATTTTTTCCAGAGCTGCATAGCTGAGTCTTTCATGGCTGACCAGCAGTGTGCAGCAACCGGTGGTGTACTTTTACTCTAAACTCCATAAAGCTGGAAAAAAATATAGACTGGCAAAGACACAGAAAACTACTTTGTCTTTATAGAAATGTATGTGAGTTTTTTGCATTTTCTGCAAAAGAATTGCCTAAAAGTTGAGATGAATCTTTTTATGCTCTGTTTTTGACCTTCCCTATCTTTTCTTCATCTTGTTAGCTCTATGACAACATTCACTGTAAAGCAGGATCACTGTTTTGTTCTTTGAGCATGTCTCACCTACAGCCAGAGCAAAAATAAAAGGTCTCCTTCTTCCAAACCGGGACGTGCAACGATCACTCCATGCTCCTATAAGAGGCTGAACAAGGAATCCTTCAAGGCAAACACAAAAAAAAACAAGATTTTTAGTCTATTATGAAAGTGAAAAACCTGTTAAGGTGGATCACTTACAACCCTGTGATCCACTCACCAAGAATGGGACTGATGAACCACACCAGGCTGTAGAACTGATCCGGGAGGCCCATTTGTAGGAGAACAGGGGTCACATAGGCCGTTTCCATGGCGTAGCTGAACTCAATCCCGAACAGGATGCAGCCGTTGAAGAGCAGCTCCTGGAAGGTGCGTCTGGGGGGAAGCTCGCTGAGGTCCAGCTGGTCCAGGGGACAAGGCGTGTTGGGCGGGGGAGGCGGTGAGGGTCGTATCAGCTTCCTGCGCTTCGGCTGTCTTTGGAAGTTGTTGGCTCTGTGACTGAGGTGCCGTGTGGTGGATGTAGGGAAGCTGGCCGTCTTGGGCAGCGAGGTCCTCCAGAGGCCTTCCTGAGCTGAGGATGACCTCCCTCCTGGGCTGGCCAGGAGAGGGTCTGTGGGGGTCCCCATGCCTGGAGATGACATCTCTCTCAAGCCGGAGTGCACTGAAGCATGAGGACACCATAACATGCAAGGGCAAGATGAAACTGAGGCGTGATTAGCTTGTGTTTTGCTTTAAACCCTCATCTGAGGGGTCAGCCTTGGATCAGAGTGTGTTTTGGTGCTGCTGCCCAGCCAGCATGCCTAGGTGGGACCCATGTGGGGACAAGGAGGGCAGACTATATGGGTCCCATATGGGTTTGTCCGCGGGTTCCACGATGGCCCCACATGGGTTTGCCCATGTAGGGCCACAGCCCAAATGGGTGCTACATGGGCCCTAATTGGACAAAACCCATGTGGGCCACCACCATATAGGGCCCATGCAGGGCCCATGTGGGCTCTGGCCCTACATGGGCAAACCCATGTGGGGCCATCATGGAACCCGCGGACAAACCCATATGGGACCCATATAGTCTGCCCTCCTTTTCCCCACATGGGGCCCACCTAGGCATGCTGGCTGGGTGGTGACTCCAGCTACAGCTGCTGAGAGGACACTGCAGTGATCAGCGGGCGCACTGCATCCAGTGCGCATGTTGTGCGCAGAGCCCATGTGCTCTCCGCGGCTGATACAGCAGTGTACTCTGCGGCAGTGCTCTCATGACGCCTGTTTCCATTTTAATTTTTCATGCAGGAGGACAAAGTCGCACACAACGGAGCCAAAGCAGAGACTGTTAGGGGGATAATGCATCACCACCGGTCGCAGTTCAACGAATATCTAAAGATAATGCGGATTGTTGGTATTCACGTAGCCTTAGATCGGTTGTCTGCTCGCGAAATCTTCGCAAATGATGCTCTGCATTTCCCTCGACTTGGCATTTAAAGGTCTTAAAGGTGAACACTACCACACGACCGTGTGTAAGAGGATTTAAAAAAAAAAGACGTGCAGAGATGAAAGATGATAATTACCTTCGAGGGGCGGCTCGTCATTTATTGCGGCACACTGTAGGTAAACAGTGGAGCCATTATGATGTGCAAAGAGACGTAGTGTTAATTACAGGAGTCATGATTATTATCATTATCATTATTTTTTGCTTTGTTTTCCTTTGATGCGTCTTGCCCCCCGCTCTCCCTCTCTCCTGTGTCCCTTCTCCTCCTCCCCCCTCTTCCTTTCTCCCCATTCGCCTCCTTTCCCGGTCTCTCCTGTGACGTCATGCCCCTCCCTGCAACATCAGCAGCACAAACGCATCTGGCCGTCCACGCAGAGTGCGTCCTTCTGCGTGATTACTACGCCTCAGCATCCGTTTATGACATCTATCTATCTATCTATCTATCTATCTATCTATCTATCTATCTATCTATCTATCTATCTATCTATCTATCTATCTATCTGTGCATATTTTTGTCTATTTAGGGTGGCAAAGCCTTTTTTTGAAATGTTTTATAAAATGATTGATGCAGGAATACTTTTAAAAATGTACATTTATGTGAAATAACTATAACAAAGCATTTCCTATTTTATAATGTTCTCTTTTCCCGTTGATCAGAGGTTTTAGGGAATTCCCATTTGAAAATTGTGACATTTTGTTGCCCGATTTCTGTTAGGAACTGGATGAAGACTCTTATTTATTTTGTCAGCATGCACAGTGAGGAGGACGGTACGGGATACGTGAAAAAACTCTCTAAAGCTCAATGTTAGAAGGGTCAATAAGTTTCCATACAGCAACACCAAACATCAGGATTTTTTTACATTTCCGCCTGTAGCCAGTCATAATATAGAAAATGTCCAGAGCCGCAAAACCTGTAAAGTTCTTAAACAATCCCAGAGTATCAGTTTCCAATTGATTAACTGAATAACATTAACTTGGTTTGTGGTGAAAATAAAGAACCACAGTTTCAAATAATCAATATGTTTTTCTATTCAGTACTCTATATTTACAGAAAATACAGAAATAATAATTAACTCTATGCAGCCAAAGGACAAAAAAAAAAAAAAAGCTCAGCTATGAAGTCAATACACCAATGTATCATCAATCATTTTCGATATTGATCAATTATTTGCAGATGTTAGGTAAGGTAAGGCAAGGTAATTTTATTTATATAGCACTTTTTCTGCAACAAGGCAATTCAAAGTGTTTTACAAGAATTAAAGGGAAATGCAAACAAAATAACAAACCAAAGAACAAAAGAAGAGAGAAAATCTGAAAATGTAATAATGTCATATTAAGTGAAAATGCATTATTACCTTTATCTGTTCTTAAACAGAACTGCTCAGTTGGCCAGGAATACTAGGAACCACTAAACCACTAAGGCTATGAAAAAAAGTTTTTTCTGTCCTACCATCACAAAAACAAGCATGTGAAGTTTGATCAACAATACTGACCAATGTCTTTAACTTGAATTTTGTCCTATGCCCATGTACATTTGTCACCACTTTGAAAGATTATTAGGTCTGCTTCTTTAGCAGAAAATCTTACAGAATAAACATAAATAACTTAAGACAGGGGTGCTGTGGTGGCGCAGAGGTTAAGCACAACCCACACATGGAGGCCTTAGTCCTCAACATGGCCGTCGCAGGTTTGATTCCTGGCCTGGTGACCTTCATGTCTTCCCCTTTCTCTCATTTTCCTGTCAATTCACTATAAAATAAAGGCCACTAGAGCCAACAAAACCTCTGAAAAGAAACAACTAACGACTTTTTCTGAATGTTTTGTGATAAAAACACAAAACTGAAATTCATAGTTTTATTTTCTTCAGCACGTTCCTCCCCATATTGGCTTAAAATATATGGCTGCAAGTTCTCGTGTGAGTAATTGTGACTTTTTGTCAAAGAAAGCAGCAGGAAGTTTTGGTGCACATAGATAAAGCAGCACATATTCTCATTGTGGTTTTGTTCTCATTGTTTTTAGCTCGTGATTTATGTGAGGGTCTGTCCTCAATCAGAAACTTTGGACACAAAAAAATCTATCCCTGGGTTCCTCCTGTCATGCTACTGCCCATTGTTCCGCTTGAAAATGTTTGTTTTACATTATTACATGTATATTTGCACATCAAAAAATAGCAACAATAACAGAAATACGTTTAACTATTCCAGAAGAAATGTCACATGAATGCTGAGTGGGTATTTTAAGAGCAGACAGTGACACACTGTCCTTCAGCTGAAATGGCTGCTTTTTATTCACGGTCCCTGCAGGAACACTGAAGTGGCTTCAGGGTCACTTCTTATAGCCAACTCATTATGTCTAATTGAGTTTTAGTGTGATTATCTAAGCAAGAGGTCGACCACCTTCATGCAGAAGAAGTAGAAAGAAAGACACATGGACCAGACATGCTAATTGATTTTTCTTTTAAAGAATAAAATCAAAGCTTCTTACTGTAAAACTTTAATTAAAAAACAAAATGCTGTGTAAGTGTGAAAAGCAATAATGAAGCTTCACCTGAATCTGAAATGAACCAGATGTTTTATTGTTTTGATTTTAGAAGTTAGGTTGCTAAATAAAATTATTTATTACTGGCAATTAGTAATAAGTAAAGTCCTTCTAATGTGTGATTATGAAACTGTGAATATGAAGCAGAATGTTTGCCTTTTTATCTGCAGTAAAAAGTTATTGATGTTTAAGTTAAGTGACTTGTAACATAAAAAGAGAGTCCACTCTGAACTTCTTTAATAATAATAATAATAATAATAATAATAATAATAATAATAATAATAATAATAATGTTAATCATTATTATTGTTGTTGTTTTTGGTTTTATTTTGAAGGAAATCACATGTATCACAGGTATTATCTTTATTCTATATTTAAAAAAAAGGAAAAGTGCAAACCAAAGTGGCAGCAATATTTAGAGTTTATCTCTTTCCTCCATCTTTGATGATCAAACATGTGTAGTTACCAAACGATCTCAAGTAGGACAAACATGTAAAGAGGTCATAAAATGTACTTCTTGTTTAACTAGAGCATGTAACATAGGCCAGGCAGTAAAAACCCATCACCTCTGAACCCACCTGTAATAAACCTTATGCAATCTGCGATATGAAAAGGTGATTTTTCACAAATATTTGCTCAAGAGTTAAAGTTTAAACTATAATCTATAGTCTGCAGTTATGAATAACATCTGTACTGATACGTATCTTGAGTAAAAATAAAACAACCCTGTAAAAACAGAACCCACAGCAAAACACGCATAATTGTAAAGAAATCACGTAACGAAATCTGTCGTCACCAAGCCCCGCCTTCGGACAGTTCAACACGCTTTCCGATTGGTTGAACGTTCAGAATCAGTTGAGTTTCATTGGATGTTAAGATTTTGTAGGCGTTTCAGGAAGAAGGTGTTTCGCAACTGCTGTCAGAGTGTAGTGGGGGCAAGAAGTGTTTACAGACTACACGCTGGTGTCCACTTCTCGTGAATTTTCACATAAACCGGTTTTGTTGTAAAGTCTGTGTGGGTAAAGCCGTGGAGAAATGGCTAAAATCGATCTGGCTAAAGTCGGGAAGAACTTACTGAAGAGCGCTGACAGTGGAGAGGTGAGCTGACCGAGTGGGCTCTGTTTAAAGCTGAAGGTTTTTTCTCTATTATATCTGTCTATTTAGATGTTTTTATTATTATTATTATTATTATTATTATTATTATTATTATTAATTCTGTAACTTTTGTTATTGTTATGTTCACTGTTTCCTTGAATTGAACATTTAAAGGAGATGAAACAGTTGTAGGTTTGCTTTTGCTTTGCATAAGCAGAATTTGCTGTGACATAATGATGATTTGATGCAAATGACCGTGTTTAAATCACTGAGAACCGAATTCATCAACCAGTTTACCAAATACTCTCATCTGCTTCCCATTCATTTCATTTTGGGGTTTAATTTTCCTCCCTGTGTTTCAGAAAGTGGAGCTCCAGTCTCTGTGGCAGGACCAGCCTGTGGTTGTGTTCTTTCTGCGCAGGTTCGGCTGCCAGGTGTGCCGATGGATGGCGTCGGAGATCAGCAAGCTGGAGCCTGACCTCCGGGCCAACGGGGTCTCCCTGGTGGGAGTCGGACCAGAGGAGCTTGGGCTCCAGGAGTTCAAGGAAGGAGGGTTTTTAAAAGGCTGTAAGCACCACTTACTCACATCATGCAAATATGGCCCCAAATGATAAAATTAAATCTGCATGTGAGATCAAATATGGCCACATATAAGCCGAGGTCAGAGATACTCGCATCATTTCCAGGCTGAAGCCATCATTGTAACCTTAATGCCCTCTTTTGTAACACACAAATCCCTGTGGGCGTGTCACGGGGGCATACAGGCACTTTTATTGACTCCTTTGTTTTCTACAGCCACTCCTGGTGCATAAATAGTATAAAACACCATCTGTCACCTTCTATTTCAGCCATTTATGTGGATGAAGAAAAGAATTGTTACAAGGATTTGGGATTCAAACGGTGAGCACATAAAGTCCATGTTTACATCAATGAAAATACCGTTTTTACTTCTAAACCTGTGACACTAACTGCAGTATAATCTGGTTGAATTTCTTAGACTCTTTATCTTAGACTCTACAGTGCCCTGCAAATGTTTTAATCACGTCACAACTTCAAACTTCAACGTATTCTATTTAGATTTTATGTGTATATTTTCAAAACAACATGACGTAGCAGCTAACATATAAGGATAATTGATTTTCCTTTTTTTTTTTTTTTCCATAAGTAAAATATTCTGGAAGATGTTATTTGTATTTGTATGTATAAAGTTAACACTTTATTAAACCACTTTAAGTGCAGGCGTTGTGAACTATAATTAGATTCGGCAATTTGCTGATCGACTGAGAGTTTGTATCTGTTTACTCTTCCAGGTACACAGCTTTAAATGTGCTTCCTGCTGCTTTAGGGAAGAAAGTGAGAGAGATATCTTCAAAGGTAGGTCTATTCATATTTATTTTACTGCTAGAGAAAAAAAGGAAAATACAAATTCAGTTGTCTGCTATTCTTTAGAGCTCATGTTATTCATACTATAGTCATTAGATATAAGATAGTATGCCGTTGTATTAACTTTTTCTGACTGTGTTTTGCTTCCTCCAGGCTGGCGCTGCAGGAATCCAGGGAAACTTTAAAGGAGATCTGATGCAGAGTGGGGGCTTGATCATTGTGACAAAAGGTATAATCTTCATGCATACG